CGTAAGCGAGCCACCGATCCTATATGGTCAGTCAAAACTTACAACATAGATAAAGTGGACATTAAAGCAGACGAGCCTAACTTGTACTACTTGAGGGATGGGCCGGGCAGAGGTTTTGTAAGAGAAGAATTATTGATCGTACCGCACGGCACAGTGTTACCGCATAGTGTCACGTGATCAGGAAAGTGCTAGTTCAGGATAGACCCGTTAAACCGAGATGATTCAGCCATGTCCCCGGTAGCTCAATCGGTTGAGTGGTGCGGCCCATTATGTATAGTTTGCGCTGAAGCTATACATGTGGGTTCGTATCCCGCCTTTGCCTCAGGAGATTCCTTGCAACTTTGTGTGATGTGAGGTGTTTCTGGTAAGGAATCAAGATCATATCAGTTGGGTCGCTTAAAGCACTTAGCTGAGAGGGGCACTCTCATGGTGAGAGAAAGGCAGCCGGCACAATTCCCAAGGGGAGGAAGCGCAACATCATCTTTCGATTTCACCCTTGGGGAATTGTGGCTGCCGGGGACATTTTACTACTTTTTAGAACCTTTCTATCTTTCTATGTCATAGCGGCACGCTATACGCAATCCCACACACTTCAACCGCGGAGTTCGCATCCCGCTAGCGTCCCAAACTTTTTTATAGTAGGGGTAATGGTAGCAAGAGCTAAGGGTCCGACCAAAGCCTTATTTGGGGAATAAGGCTTTGCAGAGGCTTTTGTTGGACTTGGTCCCGTACAATCATTCCCTCTACTACTGACAAACTGAAATTACGGCAATATTAGGAAAGAATTAAATATTTGAAAATGAATACTGCAGTACACGTCTCGTTTTTCTTTATATTATTGTCTAAATAAGAGCACAAAATGCACTTGATAACTAGTTCACGTAAAGTTTTTATGCACTGATTAAATATCTAAATGTAAATTGATGGGATTTTTCCCCATTTGATGTATTCTGTTTACATTGTAGATGATTACAGAAACCCTCAATTCAAGCATCACCCACAAGAGGACCAGGGATGAGGTGGAAAATGGAAGAACTTGAAGAGTTCATCCAAGAAGACCTTTTCCAAGTTCAGGCAGCAAACCATTGCCACTGGTAAACATGATTATGGTTACAGTATTATAATTAGTTATCAAAATATAAGTGTCATAAAAGGTTACATAAATGATGTGATAAATGTCAGAAAGTGGAAAAAAGAGTTTCACTCACAATATTTCCAGGCCTACATTGTAAGTTCTTGTATATACTGAATATTTTCTACCAACATAAACCTATAATTACACAATGCCATTAAGAAAGTGGTCAAATGTAACATATGTTTACACTTTCATAGTATTAAAGTGAAGTACAAATTCTAGTACTTCTGTTGGCTGGAATCCCATCCGGGACTTGAACCCATGCCCACAGAGTCAGGCACCTATTGCCAGCTGAGCGGGTTAGGCGGCTGACTTTGTGTGCTGGGCGATTAGGTGCCTGACTCTGAGGGCATGGGTTCGATTCCCGGATACTCCAGCCAACAAAAGTACTAGAATCTGTACTTTACTAAGAAAGTGTAATGCCAAATATAACATGTTACAACATAAACCTACTCTATTCCAGTGTTTCATCCTAAAGTGAGTACTTACCTCCTGGGTTTGTGATATATTTCTACATTAGGCCAGACCAATTTTATTTCTGGTTTTACAGCTCTGCCTGTCGTATTTTTTCAAGAATAAGAAAAGAAATAAAATTAATTTTCCCCGCTCAAAACTAAAATCCTAATGTTTTATTGGCCAAATATATAAACTTACAAGAAAAATTTGTTTAGGTTGACTCTTTTGCCCCATATACACTTAAAAATTGCCAAAAGTATAATACTTTGAGTATTTAGAAGGAATATTACTTTGACTGGTGATTTATTTATTTTTTACCTCCTGCCTTTGGTTTTCTGAGGACAAAATCTGTGAAACAAGAAATAAGATTGGTCTGACCTAAGATAATCATATTTAAGCAATTAATCTACTTTTTTTGCATTTACAGGAGGCGGACCACCTCCAACTCCGGTCAGTCCGGTCACAGATGCAGTTGTTGAGGCCATTGGGAGGGACAACTTAAGTCTTACGGGTATCTCAGACTCGTGTGATTCCACTGCCCTGTAAACTGCTTGATGCCATCACTTCAAGAGAAAGGTACATGCCATATCCATTTTGATATTAATCCGTTTTATACAACACTAAAACTACTGCAATATGTTTTGTCAGGTTTCTCTAACAGCTGAGCTTCATTGATACCTTAGGCTAGGATTCATCTTGAACATCTGTGAAATGATGCAGCCGTAACATATACTTTTTTCAATAGTATGTCTGTGAGATGAGTTTTACTACTTTTGACTGGAGTCTTTCTCTAACTGATACATGATGAATCTAATATTCTATATTTATATTTTCCTAATATCTGAATCCTAATATATCCCTTTGTAGTGGTTATAATTAATAATGAATTTTCATATGAATTATTATTCCATGATTTGGAAGGTTCAGCTATCTGAAAATACTGAACTTACTCAGGCCTGCACTGTTGTTAACAGACAACACTCGACATTTGTCACTTAGTACTTCATCAGTTCATCTTGCGCTGCATGAATTACATGAAGTCCTACAGTTTGGGGAAATTATAATTTACATTCTTTCCCAAACTGCCTGTCAGGGTCACTTGGCTTGAAATGACTGACATGACTCTGTTTAAAACATAAAACACAAGGCTCGGGATATGGAAATATTATGAACATGTATTTCATTCTCTTATGTATTTTACAAATCATGATTTTGTTGTAGCCCAATCATGGTCTGTGACGAGGTCCAGGACATGGTGAACGTTTACCACCTGCCAGAGAAGACAGCCTGTCAGTGCCAGCATCAGCCTCTGTGGAGGCATTACAGAAAGAAAAACTGGATTTAGAGATTGAATGTTTGAAATTGAAAAGAAAGAGTATCTTAAGAGAAGAATTAATAAACTAGAAGAATAGAAGAATAGATTGTACAGGCACTAATGACAGTATAGGGTATATACATTGTAATTATTAGGAACCTTTCAAAATTTAATGGTGTGTGTGTCTGTCTGTGTGTGTGTCTGTGTGTGTTGATGATTTTAAGTTTTAAGGAGTGGTCACCCATTTTGTTCTTGGGAGGTAGGGGGGGTGTCAGTAACTGCTCACATGTACTAGGGGGTCAGAAATTTTGTAAATAGTGAATATTAATTAATTAATGTTAAAAAGACGTGAGTGGGTAAATGACCTCGTACATGACATGGTGGTAGTGGCAAGTACTTTGTACTTAAATTTTAGGAGTCATTCACATTGTACATGCTTCTCCATGACAATCATCATTTCTTCCCCTAGAGACATAAATTATGAACGGTCCCTTAGAGGTCTTGCATTTAGGAATATGAAATTAATAATCAATGCATTTCTATGACTTTCACGATAGACTTTGGAAATACGTACATTAAAGAAGTTGATCGCAAATTGTTCCCTGTATCTGGCTCCTGATGCTGTAGGAGCAATGGCTGGCAGACCTTGCATCTGTGCCCCTCAGCTGTCCAGGTTGACCGCTGCTCCCACTTGGAGCTGGCATTGGGACATTCCTGTCCTTGCTGATATTGTGCAGCACTGCACAAGCAAGTATTACCTAGGGAGATATTAAAAAAACATAGTCAAAGACACAACAAATGGTCAATAAATTTCTGTCAATTTAATTAAAAGTAGGATGTAGAGGACTTATTGTATTTGACCAAGATATATTTAGTTTTGATACTCTATTTTAATTGATGTTCATTTCTCATCAAATAATAGCATAATGAAATGTTAGTGAGAAAATCTCCCATGGAACTGATTTTAGTTGAATACCTAACCACTGGTATTCAGCAATTAATGTGGCCTTCATCTAAAAAAGTTATTTTGTCATAACCAATTTTTCTAGCATCATTATCTTTCCATGAATGCATTTCACATCTAATAATTTCTTTGTAAAACCCTACCCTTACTAATCTGACACTAAGAGTATTTGATCCTGGCAATCTTTACGCTTTAATTTAGTAGCTATACAGAAAATGCCACGATTCAGATATTTGAATATATATCTTTTCATTTCACAAAACATTTCACGTAAAATGTTCCTCTCTAAGGGTTCATAAACCTAGGATCACAGTATAAGTATATACTCATATTTGATTGTCTAAACATCTTAAATATGATTCTTTTAAATATGATTACTGAGATAACTAATTTTATTACAGTTGAACTTTAGATTACAATAATTATCTGTCAATATTGAGTGAGGTGCTATTGACAGTAAGATCACATATATCTGACTTGTCCACCTTGTTTATGTTAGGACTGGACTGAAAAAAGTGTAGACATTTTTACATTCTTGTTTGAGATTTGTTAATGTATTCATTAAATAAAAGTTATTGTTTATCTTATTAATGTGTTGGTTTCTTTATCTACCTAATGCATATTAGGTCCTTAGGGTATTATTGGGGACATATATGTGTTAAAATTATGATTTAACTTCAACTTCAATGGAGTCCACAGAAAAAACATTCTTATAATGCTATACCTTTGCAAGCCTTCTGTGGGGAAAGTCTGATTTCTTCATGTAGTACATGAAACCGCCGCTTTAGTTGTCCAATACCTCTTTCCACACAGTTTCTGTTTTTTATGTGATCTGAAAATTTGCAATAAATACAACTGGAATCACTAGATGATCATATAATATTTATGGGTGGTATGAAATCAAAATGGAGATATCATGATAAGAACTTTATTTTGCCCAATAATGTGTATTGTTTCATTGACAAAGTCACCCAAGATGCATTTACAAATAAAAAAGAAGTAGACATTATCCAGTGTAGGAAAGATAGCTCCGTCCTTAACGTCAAAATATCTAGTCCGTCCCTCATGTCGGGTCAATCTTTTAGCAAACCAATGACATATATATATAATGATTTTTATAACCTTTTTTGAATATTTACTGCCGAAGGTTGTGTTTTATTTATATTTGGAGGACAGGCTAGATTTTTGGCAGGACTGGTAAAAATTTGACCTCGCCAGTCCTGTGGACATGCTAGATTTTCAGCATCTTTCCTACACTGCATTATGATTGTACGACATGTGCCGCCCTGAATAATGCATTTAGCAAAGATATGGAAGTCTTCCATTTCTGTTTTATGTTGAGATTGTATTTCACATAACCAAAGGAAATCACTTCTATTGGTTAGTACCTCGAAGTTTGACTCGAAGAAATAGCAATTCAATTATGCAACTATACCTGTTGTAGTTTGTCTGTGATCCAGGAAGGGGACGCAAAATGGTGTTAAAATCCACCTCCGACATGGGCAGGTAGCCGCTGTCGCCAAGCAGATGACAACTTACGGGTAACTGGTTCCCTCAAACATCCGACATAACCCGCTTTGTCAAGATTCGGGAGTCATGTGTTGAGCCAGGCCAACGTGCTACGATGTCGATGATCCGGTCGTCGCTGTCAATCACTATCTGTGTATTAATACTCGTGGTGAAAGTGGGATGCCTGTTAATGAATTCATTCTCATTCACGGATGGGGCCTGAATTTGAACGTGAGTGCCATCAATGACACCTACTACACCGGGGAAGTTTGTAGTCTGATAAAATCGACGCTGGTGTCGTCGTCTTATATCTTGGGTTTGTGTGGAAAGGTGACAAATCTACGGACCATACGCTGACTTGTGGAGTGATTGAGGCGTTTGTTCGATGACTCTTTGAGATGCGGGTGGGTTTGCTCAGCCCATGGTCAACGCCATTGCATATCTGAAATTTGCCTGTGGCAAGATAACGCAAAGTGACGAGCACTTTGGTAACGCAGGACACTGCACAACTCCGATGCGTTACGGGACTTAGATCGTGTTCTAGTAAATCACAGATGTAAACAATACTGTTTCTGTCAAATCTGTACCTTTGTAACAGTTCATTATCATCTAATGAATGCAGAACTTCTCTTCTTTCATTAAATACTCTTGGAATACGTGTGACAGCCATTTTGTTTCATATGACTTAAGTCAAAAGAGTTGGATTTAAGCCTACCAAGATGAGTCTTAATAGTGTTTGATAAATACGGCCCCTGTTTATTACCTTCCAACATAAATTGATAGAAACTGCCTACGTAGTGTGATGACTCGGCTTTCCACGAGTCAAGCAAGGTCTAATACCATTGTGACTGAGGTATTAGCATTGTGACATCATCACTGTGAAACATTATGACGTCATACGTCTAGCGGTATTACACTAGTGTCATATTGCTGTAAAATATTAGCATAGAGATTATTAACGATAGTTCAGTCAGATAACATTTATTTATTAACGAGTTAGGTTTCAAAACGCATTTAACGAGCGAAAGCGAGTTAAATACGTTTTTAAACAACGAGCTGTAAGATAAATGGTATCTGAAGACAGACACGAGTACAGTAATCTGTTTCTTACACACCATGTAAATCGCACCATTTTATGGTCGAATAGATTCAAATTTCATGTTTTCTCATCGTAGGTGCGCAATAATACACAACACAACGTTTATGAATGAGTGACGTCACTTGGCTTCCTAATCACTACTCATCCCCATAGTGACCCTCCACAAAAAGTTTCTGCCACCTCTTCGCATCATCAAGGCAATAGTGATAATGATAACTAGATCAGATCACAGAAAATTAATTAAACCCTCTAAAACAAATGATGTTACCGTGCAAATGCGGATGATTCTAATTCTTGCAAGCGTAAAATATTTGAGCGAGTGACGTCATCGTTATCGCTTGGTGGTTGTCGTCATCGGAAGATTGTTTTTGATATCTCTATTCTGCACATTGGGGAACTGGTACTTGTGTACCAGTTTACGTTCAATGTTCTCCCATCGACCGGAGCCAAAAAACTATTGCGTGTGTGTAATTAGGTGCACCTAGTGTGCTTGAATGTGACATTGCTGAGGTTACGTTCACTGTCAATGGGGACTACTCTTCTTCGCCACATCCTTCTCGTTTTCCCGAGCGAGAAACTGCCACTTGGAATGTAATGGAATTTACGGAGTTTTCAGTATGAAATGTGAGTTGATTACATCCTGTAAGTTATCAAGACATAAATTTCATTATCATGCGTAGGAGGAATATCTTGAGCAATGACTTATGTGTAGATCAACCGTTCCTGTACAAGTTCGATTGAATAGAAAGGACGTGTGCCGCCATTTGTACTCATGAAACCTTGCAAAACGTACCATGTTGTACATTGTTTCAACGAGTGTGTTTTGGTTCAGATTGTCAGCGAGTGAATTTGATAACATTGGAATCACATAGTATCTCGGAGCTGGAAGTGGGTCTTCATCATGTGTATCAGTGAAAAATGTCATCTTCATCAATGCATCAAAGAAACAACGAGGCAAATCGATCTCACAATGGACAGGCACTGACGTTATCGTGTCAGGTATTTTTGCAAGACGACACATGACACTTGTCGCATCTCTCCAGTAAAAAGTACCAGTTTTGTACATTTTGAATATTCGAAGGGAATCAAGGGCTTTATCTCTAACGGTGACTTTCTACATAATTGTTTACACAGGCATCACTGATGGTTGGAACCATTTTGAATTCATGACTAGAAATCAAAAGTTTTAATATATAAAAGGAATTAGAAAATAAATAGATTTGTGTTATATTTATTCTACTTGTGACTCATTGTATAAATACCTGTTTATGTTGCAATCGCGAAAATAACAGGTAGGTGTAAAGGGGTATTTTGCACGAGTAACAGGTTTCTGTTCGATTGAAGCACGAGTAACTTATCAATGAATTTTAATCAGGAAAGTAGTCCGTCATACCCTGACCCTAGGTCATCACCATGGAGTAGCCAATCACGGGATTAGAAATCGATCTCACACATATGTGTGATACCAGTTTTCTCACATGGGTTTCTCACTCCACGGGTGTGTAAGAAAATGCAGTATCTTACACGGACGAGTAATAAAAGAGATTGGTATGCAACTACCCATACGTTGACCACGTGGGTAATAAAAGGCGTGTCCCATACTCAAGTGTTCGAGTGAGTGGAGTGAGTTTAGTTTTACGCCGCTTTAGCAATATTCCAGCTATATCACGGCGGGGACACCAGAAATGGGCTTCACATATTGTACCCATGTAGGGAATCGAACCCGGCTCTTCGGCGTGACGAACGAACGCTTTAACCACTACGCTAAGCCACCGCCCCTCAAGTGTTCGAGACGACTGGGCCCGGACAGTCAAAATTGACATAAATCTCACAGATGCCCTCATCAACGTGTTTACATCGGAGGCACAGAATTATAGTTACCCACATAGCACTTATTGCATGACTTTTCATCGCATTTTAAACAAACAAATCCGTTAAAGTAAAGGTCCCCATATTGTATTTGATTCAACCCAATCTTGTTCGTATGTTCTCGCCTTTTGAACAATGTGCCCGGTCTGGTTGAATTAATTTGAACATAACTGATGTATCGTAAATTGTGGTTGAACCTATGAACTAGCATTATATCTTCCTACAGACCACAATATAAATACTCTTAAAGTAATTTTAGCAAAGTGAAGCCCGCTTTTCTACATTCTCAACATCATCTCCACATCACAAGTGTTCGGTCTGGTTTGACCCGAGTTGTCAAAAGTAGCCTAAACTTTACAAATGTATCCTGAATTGTGTTTAAATCCCTAGAATAGTGTTGCATCTACCTGAATACCAATTTAGGTAATTTTCAGTAAAACTTTCAAGAAGTTTTATGGTAGACACGTGGAGGAAATGTCCAAATTTGATGCATCATGAGTGACAAAAATGATCCGATGCAATTTCCTATTTTGAAATTCCCGAATTATTTCAGGTGAACAAATTAGTAGACTTAGCATATTTGTATGAGGGTGCCACCGGCGAGGCAGGATACGCTCAACCCCCTGGGTGCCACAGGGACATATATGTCCTTCCCCTTCAACCCTCAATTTGAAGTGCAATTAAAATCAAAATATCCCACGCACACAAATACACTTCACAGTTTCGAATTCTACGGGAAATTTCCTGTTTCTTGATACCATCCACTATTATTTTAGACAAATCTCAAGAGCTGAAAATGACCTTTCAAAATAGGCTTCATCGAAAATGTCGCCATTTTTGACACAGTACGAAATCGCGATTCACAACGTTTTTTTGCTGTATGTTTTCAAATGTGAAAATCGGATAATTACTGGGAATTGTGAATTTCAAATTGTGAAAACGAACGCTGTTCTGGAAAGACTGCGTTTGTTTGAAATGTAAACAACGACGAAATCCTATTTTACACTGCGTAGCATTTTCTGAAATTTTCCAACATTCATCCGTCTATTCATTGCTTGCAATGCCTCAGTACCTTTGCAATATGCATGGAAAGCAAGAAATAGGAAATTAAAAATAGATACAATGCAATGATTTGATAATTCATAAGAATTTTCAAAGTTTCCATGCAGCGTGACGCCATGACTGACGCAAAATAACGCAGAACGACAACGGTAATTATCTGCATTTCTGGCTTCTTCTCCTACTTATAGTGAAAACGATAAAAACATATAACAATACTCAGATAATCCTTCTGATTACTAACATCTCATATTTATGTACAAACGATCCCTGAATCAATGGAAGGGTCCTCGCAAAATCCTGTGTCCTTGTCAGCAAAGCCGCCATTTTGTAAGAAATCGGTCAACGGTAGTGATGTCATACGTCAACATTGTTTTACATATTGGGCAATTTCGTGAGGTGAAGGTCGGTTGAACAAGAGTAAACACAATCGTCCAATCCTTCCGATTACACAGTCAGTATTATGATGTATATTTTGCGTATAGTTCAGATACCTTTTCAGGAAACTGACTTCAGTATCTACATTTAGCCTTGTTCAATATCATATCATACGTGCATATAGGGTTTACGGTGTTTTATTCTTTGAAAGTTTTTTGATTATTTGAATAATATTTACATAAGAAATTGACACATTTAGTGTAGTACACCATATTTTAAACCTTCACACAAGTGTTAGAAGATCAAACGTAGCCATAACTGCAACTAATTTAGTTCCTCTGGTGTACAATATTCAATGCATTTGCACAAATACTGCAGTTTCATATGAACAGGTTAATGAACGGCGATTTAATTCAACCATATAAGTAAAACTGATAATATTAATGAAAATGATTTATATATGCTCTGAAATGTATATGCTCACATATTTTAAGGAAAAGTCTTGTTCACTGCATATTTTTGTGTCGTTTTATAGACAAAACAATGGTGTATATTGATTGACCAGGTGAGCGTTTGTCGGAAACGTTTTATGATTCACTATCATTGTTTTCGCTAATATAATCAATTCATATTCGATTAAAAAATATTGTGATGACAGGATATCAAACTCTAACTATATTTATACGAAAAATTGTTTAAAAATATATAAACCATGTCATGTCTTAATTTGGACAAATTTTACATCCATATTCTAATATATAGTTCCATATATAAAAATCTATCTTTTTGCATCTTTTATTGCATAATACTTATGAAGAGAAATAGCCACATAATCATAAACAAAGAAAATTCTTATCGTAAACAAAATATTCGGGTGTTGTGAAAAGTTATTGTTCATTTACGTTAAATTGATGCCAAACAGGTGCGCGTGTTGCTCACAATACGATACACAGTCAAACCGTCTAATTGTTGATATATTCAGGACACTATTTAAATGGAAAAATCAGTCATTTTATGTTTTGTCTAAAGAGTGTTAAATTCTGACATAGAAGCCGAGACCTTTCACACAATTAATGAAAATTAGGTGAGATATATACTAATCAGCATGCCAGTGTCGTCTTTTTCCGACGTCGCAAAATGCATAAAACAAGCAATGCCGTCAACTAAAATGTATTATTTTCAGCAATTTCATGACATTTGAAGATATGGCTAATACTCTGGTAATAACGATGCAGAATTAGTCAAAATACATCTACACAAACAGGAGAATATGGGAATCTAAGAACTAACTTATATATCGGATAGGGCCATCCAAATCGCTATTACGTGCTTTCACATGTAGTACGTTGTCATCTTTTCTTATAAATTGTGAAACTACCAAAGCGTATCCGCTCACATTGGGGAACTTTGAATTGGAATAGTTTGTTTCACCGTGAACAAAAAATAACGAAAATATAGCGTCCGTATCCACAACAAATTCTCTCCATGTGATCTGACTTACATTGACCTAGTGTTAAGCATAACGGAGTAATGCCCCCTTATCATTATACGTGCATGACCTCTCTGTCGTCGTTTGACGTCATAGAAGAAAATCCATTTTTGACATTTTATTGCGAGTCATTTTTAATGTTGAGCGTATAACGTTATGCATAAGCATATGAACCCAATTCATATGCACTTGTGTCGTTCAGATATCAGGCTGTATTTTCTTCGCTCACACTTTCCGTAAAGATGCCAAATTAAAAAAGTCGTAGCATAGTGTTTTTCTCGGTGCGCGATACAAAGCGGAGAAATTTACTGTTATTTAACGCATAACAAAACATTTGGACAACCTTTAGCAAGGTCTATTTCTCAAACCGCTCATGTAGTTGCACTTATATTTATACCAACGGATAGGAAATTTAATATTCTACATATCTGTATAATTTTATAGCCGTACGTAGATCCAGGACCACGCGAGCGCAATTCTCGCACAACGTTCACTTTTCAAACCGTCAAAGTGTGCGCCTGAAAAAAAGCTCGGCATCCACAGGGGGTTAACAGAATCGTTTACGTAAAATACAGGGCCTAGATTTTCGAAGCTCTCATAACTAAGACCGGTCGTAAGAAGTTATGTCAACAGTTAAGATAATCTTAGCGCGACCATAAAAGAGATTTTCGAAACGCTCGTAAGTCTGTCGTAAGGTCAAGGTAGATACGACAGCTGTCGTAAACCGTATCCAGGGAATCCCCGATGACGTCACGGAATTCCCCTATGTAAATATAGCAGACGTCAACATGGACACCAAACGTACCGAAGTTGCCGAAAATACAAGCGTGAATAGAGCCAGGAAAGCCAACTGGACGGCCTCCGAGATGGAGATTTTAGTCTCGGAGGTCGGTCTACGTTCGGCTGTGCTCTTTTCGAGTTTTACCAGCACTGTGAGTCTAAAGACCAAAAGAAAATGCTGGGAGGAGGTGGTCGAGAAGTGAGTTGTTTTACTGTCAGCGACCGTGATAATGATTAGATTTATCCGGTTGAAATTAAGATGCAGTTTGTAATGTGTTATAAAGTTATATACTGCTAATTAATATAACGTTATTATACATGTAATGATGGAAACATACAAGTTAAAAAGATATCATAGATGAGTAAAATACACTGCCCAATAAGTTGGCAATAACAATATTGACAAATTCATGATATTGGTTTCAAGTTACGGTAGGAAATAGTGTAGGGTATATATAAAGCTGAGTTTCTTTCCTACCTTAACTAGTACACAGTATAAAAGTAATATAATGTTATAAAGGTTTTCCTATATTATTAATTAGTTAAATGTAGCTCTTTTGGGAAAGTGGTATTTCATGTAACATTTCAATTATGAATATGACACTTCAGAATAATTGATTAAATTAAATGTTGCTCTAACAAAGCAGCCAGACAAGGAAGCGGGCAGCTCACTGTAGGCGGGAGAGCGTGAAGACAGGAGGAGGGCAGGCTCCTGTGTTGGAGCTGAATAGTCTGGAGGAAATGGTAATCATAACCATTAATAACAGTTGAACCATTTATGATGTCATATTAATTATTTACTTCTTATATTAAAGTTATTGGTCTGATATAGTTACAAAACATATCACACAAAAACAAAGTTACAATTTCAAATGAGACTTGATATAAATCAGAGTGATCCCTTCATTTATGTTATAATATTTATTTAACAATTATTATTGAATTATTTGTCTCTATTTCCCTTTACTAGGTGATGTCTCTTATTCCAAATTGCCAGCTCGAAGGCTGTGAGGGAGGCCTGAAGAGTGAAGAGTGTAAGTTCATGTTGCAGTAATTCAGTATAGTAGTAAGTTATAATTATATGAAATTTAAACAGTATAATACTCAACATAGAAAGATATGATAGAAATCTATTGTAACCACTTTTAACATTTATAAATGAAATGGAACTGTCCTATGAAAAAAATATCATGCAACATTTACAATATAAAAGGGAATTGAAAATGACTTTGTTTAAGTACTAACATTACCAACATTAGATGTTAACAATATCACTGTTATTGTTTTTGCAGGTGTGACTCTATCAGAGGGCATTGCTGCCACTCCCCTGCTAGGTGTGTAGTTTGTAAATAAATTATTGAATTGATTACTCCTATTAATCTATTTTTGAATTCTTGTACACACATTTAAACCAATTTGATCTTTGTTAACTCATGTAGTTAAATAATATGTCCACTTAAGTGACATGTAATGCCAGTTTTATTTTATTAATTTTTAAATAACATTGGAGAACTACGAATCTGAAATAACAATTTATAAATGACATAAAAGATAATACAGATTTAAAATTATTTCAGATGCAACAATAGCAGACACACAAATTGAAGCCCTGCATATGTCCAGCCCAGAGCCAGTGAAAGGCAGGTGTAGAACTTACATGTACTTTATCTATGCTGAAACTATAAAATTATGAATTCCTAGTGAATAAACTAAACACATGTACACATTAATGGAAAATGAATTTCACAAAAAAAAAGGTCACTTGCTTTACCAAAGACTTTAAAGGTGACATGAGATATAGCTATACATTAATCAATTAATGGAAATGAAAAAATGTTGATTTATGGCCATCAAATTTCAGATGCTATGATAGCTCTTGAAACAGTTATGGCAATTCCCGCTGCATTTGGAGGTAATGGTACGATGATGAAATAAGTATATATTATTAAATCGTAACTGATGATGTCAGTGCTTACTCAAATGGGATCAAACCAAGACTGTCATATCTAATTATATACAGTTGTTTAATGACAGATTAATATCGTACACTTTTTAAAGGGTCAATAGGTATTGTAATGGACTGCTTAGTACAGATCTCACCATTAAACTATCTGCTTTGGAATCTACTTTTGGATGATAGAATACATTAATTGTGAACATAGAGCAAAATGAAGGATGAAATGGTTACATATAAATCAATTCTCTGTGTTTCAGCCCCAGTTGAGAAACCAAAGGCACATAAACAGACTCCAGCTTCCACCATGAGTGGTAGGTTATTCAAGTAATATTGTTCATGTAAATATAATTTTTCAATAATTGCATAGGCTTTCAAGCATTGTCAATATAGATCCACATTCTTTAATTTGTGAGTGAATTAATACAGATTTGGAAAAATGTTTCATTACCTTTTAATTATCATTGAATAACATAAGAGTTGATAATGTAGTATCATGTAACGAAAGTTTTGACACATCAAATTGATCAAATCAATTAACTTATGTCATTCTTCCATAACTTAGAAAATATGGAAGAATTTATAATCATATTATCTCAATATATAATACATTTTTCAGTGTCACCAAAGAGACAAATCATCTCCATTGAGGAGAAAAAGCTGGAGGTGCTGGCTTCCCTTCTTGACACTCAGAATGAGCTGCTTAGTGTGGAGAGGAGGAGACTGGCAGTGGAGGAGGAAAAGCTGACTCTTCTGAAACAGATGAACACATGTCCGGCTGATTTCTCGCCAATCATTAAATTTTATTAAATGATTAAAGATCAATATTATCTTTAACAGGATACTGTTTTTAATATTAAAAGTGACGAGGTCCCTCAGATTTAAATTCAGAGGGTTATGGATCTTTTATATATTATACACTATTTGTTGGGCATAGGGTAACAGAGTATGACAAATAGTCTTTGTGCTTAGATTACATCGACATGTATTTTTAGCAAATACATTTTCAATGAGCTGCCTCCTGACAAGGTACCGTCTTGTGCATGACAAGGAGCAGGGATATTGTCATCTGCATCATCCGTGTCGTCCTCGTCAACAGGTGGTGTGGGTAGTCTCAAGTCAATGGCAAAGTTAGCTGTGCAGCTGCATACACAATCTTGTGGCACTGTTTCACCCCATACCACAAGCAGCCTGCAGACTTGTGGATGCACCTTTGAAAAATAACATGTCATTAGATAAATTAAGTAGTTAGTACTTCTTCTGACTATGAAAATATATCCATGAAAGCTATGATAATTTATTTTACACTATACAAAAAACAACTTTAGGGTAAGTTTACGTTTATGTGGTGCTTGACAAGACTGATATTAGATACCTAAATCTGGACTTCAAGAGACCAAAAGCTCTCTCGATGGTGTTGCGGGTTCGACAGTGACTGCTGTTGTATCTCTCCTCTGCACGGGTCTGAGGCTGGGCCAGTGGTGTGAGCAGCCACGGTCTGCATGGGTATCTGATAACATACACCAAGCATATCAACATTAAATATATTAATTTTGTTAATATTTATGTAATATTCACGAATTTTTAAGTTAGAATCTTAGTTTATATATATGTCATGAAATATAGAATCAATATTATTTATTCAGTATCAAAGGCCTCCAGCCCAGAGTACATTTGCATATATTGTCAAGTCACAAATGTTATCATTAACATGAAGTCACTGCAATATAAAAAAATACTTACCCAGAATCTCCTAGTAACCATCCATCGTCTTTATGGGCTTCCAGGTGGGATCCAATTCGGCTGTTTGCAAATATGAATGAGTCGTGTGTAGATCCAGGCCATTTACAAACAATATTCAGGAAGCTGAAAATTCAATTTTTTATCTGTATTAATAGTTTAAAAATTATCTTTGATAACAAAATTTGCATTATTTTTTTCTTCATTTAGAATTAATTAAATATTATTATGAATACAAGTGTTTGAAATATAATGTTGATAACTTCAGATTCATTTTGTGGATGTTGTTTTCATTAATTTGAAGTGCATGATATCACTCATGTAATGAAGCAGTACTGTGTGTATTCAAGTAAAATATGTAACAGCCATTTTATGGGCGCTTCATTTACGCATTTGAACATAAAGTTTTTAATGTTATTTCACTGGAAAACGTGAACAAGTTTATGTTTGATACTTTGTGGAAATTTGATGTGGGGGTTATGCAAGTATTCCACATTTCTAAATCTTCGAAAAATCATTCCATTAGCTACAAATAGGAAATACAAGATTTTATAATAACTTTGACGATCCCTAAACGTGCCTCTTGAAATGTTTAATTTGGAAACCCAAACAGTGCCCTGAGTGTTCATTGGTTGAAGTAGGTTACTTGCAATGTCAAGGACTCAACCTTCGATGTGTAGCGTGTGTTGTGAATGTGCTGGGAAAAGTATCGTTTCATTGAATTTTATTGAGAAAACATTGAGCCGTACCGCATGTCAGGGTCACAGATGGCCTGTATGTTGACACACGTAGGCGACCTCTTCATTTGCAGGGGGACGTTTGATGGCCACTACAGTCCCGTCGATACAGCCAAGCACATTCGGAAAGCCGAATTTCCCGTGAACTTTCTCTTTTAGTTGTCTCAACGAAGACCTGTCTTTGGGAAACTTGATCAAATCAAGGACTTTACAAAGTTGTTCAATAGTGTTTCTAATCGCGATCGATACGCTGGATTGCACAATGCCGTGCATATCCGCCAGCTCAGACTGGAAACTGCCTTTGGCAAGAAAGCGGAGGGTAACCATCACCTGTATTTCAGGTGAGAGGGGCACCGAACGCTGGGTCTCCCGAACCAAACCAGCCTCAACAAGAGATACTAATTTAAAGATAGCATGACGAGGCATTCTATAACGAGAGATCAGTTCATCGTCGTCCAACGTGTCTAACTTACGCGAACGGTCGCGGAAAATCCGGGGTTTTCTGTAAACTTCATTAAGATTATCTTCACAATCAAACCCAAGACCAATGTAGGTTGCCATCTTGAATAAGGTGTAAGTGCGCGCAACCTTAGTTACGACAGGTATATACCTATCTTAGATTATGATCTTAGCTAAGATATCTTAAGTTTTACGATCGTTTCGAAAATAGCCTAAGACAAAGACAGATGCGACTACCCATGAGGTTACGACTATCTTAAGCTAAGAGAGCTTCGAAAATCTAGGCCCTGGTGTATGGAAACATATTTCCTGACGTTTGTGACGTCAAACGGCACAGTGCCAAACACTCGGAGAGGGTTCTTTCATATTATGTTGTAAATACTTATGCTAAGCACTTATATGATGCTTCATGGTTATCTTGAAATATGAACATTATACACATGTCTACCATATGACCTGGTTAATCAATAATGATTGTATTGATTATATATGCTTGTCATGTAGTATTATTGCTAAGCCTCACATGTATTGGCCCATGAAGTATTGTAGCGTATATTGATGCAATGTATTTATTTTCACATGTCCTTCTTCAATCATGTTGCCATTAAACTGTCATCTACAAGATCTATTTGCCTTTGTGGTCTATACCAAACCACTCTGGATTTTTTAAAGTTGTAAAAGTAATATTTATCTAGGCGATCTGATAAGAATAATATTTTACCAGCAACATGGCATACATATTTTTAAAATTTATTAAATCCCGAATCATGTGAAGACTGTGACCAGGAAGGGGATGCTTATATTGGAAAGTATATTCCTGAACATAGTCATGAACATTGTACTGATGGTGTCAGTGGGATGCTTATATTGGAAACTATATTCCTGAACATAGTTATGAACATTATACTGATGGTGTCAGTGGGATGCTTATATTGGAAACTATATTCCTGAACATAGTCATGAACATTATACTGATGGTGTCAGTGGGATGCTTGTATTGGAAACTATATTTCTGAACATAGTCATGAACATTATATTGATGGTGTCAGTGGGATGCTTATATTGGAAACTATATTCCTGAACATAGTTATGAACATTATACTGATGGTGTCAGTGGGATGCTTATATTGGAAACTATATTCCTGAACATAGTCATGAACATTGTACTGATGGTGTCAGTGGGATGCTTATATTGGAAACTATATTCCTGAACATAGTTATGAACATTATACTGATGGTGTCAGTGGGATGCTTATATTGGAAACTATATTCCTGAACATAGTCATGAACATTGTACTGATTGTGTCAGTGGGATGCTTATATTGGAAACTATATTCCTGAACATAGTCATGAACATTGTACCGATGGTGTCAGTGGGATGCTTATTTTGGAAACTATATTTCTGAACATAGTTATGAACATTATACTCATTGTGTAAATGATGAACTGTCTTATGATATGACAACTGCAGAAATTATATCTGCAATAGACAATGCTAAACTGAATAAGTCACCAGGAGACGACGATATTCTAACAGAATTTTTAAAGAAAATTGAGAATATATTGTACCCTACCTTGCTTTATTGTTTTCACAAATATTCAGACATGCCCAGATTGAGTTGATCAAGACAATAACGAAAAACTAAAGATGCACACTTAGAACTTAGTTAAGAGCACGTATACACGCGCGCGCGCACACACACACACACACACACACACCATATTTTAAGTTACTGACTTATCTAATGATGAATCTTGAATTGTAACGATGACTATTATTTGAACTGTATTTCCTTTCAATATTGTCTAAGGGTTTTGCTAAATCAATCGTCAAAGGACTTCCCTATATGCAGTTGAAGCACACTACCCACGATAGTCTCAGAAAGCCCTATTAACTCAATGCGGCAAACTGTATAAAACGCCATAAGTTATTAATGATTTTAACAGTATCTCTTACAATGGCACGAAGGAGATTACCAGAAGCAAGAAGATGGCAAATTATATGAATGTACGACACCGGAATGTCATGCAGGGCTATTGAGCGACAGCTTGACATTCACCACACCGTCATAAGTCGACATGTTCAAAAACACCGTCAAGGTTAAGGACTGACCAAGGCCAGGTCAACCCCGAAAGAAGAGAGTTAAGGATAGATAGATAGTAATAACTGTATAATAAATGATGGAAAAGAAATTTAAATGAACTAAAACTTTTTTATGAGACACTGTACTCTGAACAAACTGAAAATCTGACCATGAGATGGCAGAAATCATACTAGAAACAAGAGATACTCTGGAAATGAAAGAAGATTTATTCGATAGACTTGAACAGCCAATTACACTTAAAGAAAATGCAACAGAATCCACACTGTACAAACATGTTACCCTGGTCTACTGAAATAAAAAATTGGAAAATACGTTAAGGATCGGGATTTAGCAAGCCTTGTGATGCGTCAGCCTTTCACTACAAATGGCGTCCTGAAGCACTTATGGCTCCCCAACAGACGTCTGTGCGATAGGACTGTAAGAAACGCATAAATGCACATGGGATGAGGGGCAAGAAAGGTGACCAAGCATCCAGCCTTGACCAATCTTCACAAGAGAGCTCATTTGGAGTGATGTTTACCACGAAGTCATTGAAATTTGACGCCATGGAGGAAGGTGCATTGGTCGCTTAATGTATTCACGTCTGGGGGACCAAGAGCAGTGTCTATGAGCCTAAGAACATCAGAGCATCAGTTCCTTACGGCGGTGGATCTGTCATGGTCTGGGGTTGTCTCTCCCATGATTGTAAACTGGGCTTGGTAACTGTTCGTTGAAAGCTCAGTGGCGACCACGACATCTGGATCCTGTTCTTGTGCCACATTTTGATAACCACCCATTAGCCACTCGCCCTGTATTTATGGATGACAACGCCCGACCACATTGTTCCCGACTTGTGACAATTTTTCTCCAACAACACAGTAACCATACTTCCATGGCCTGCTATGAACCCGGATCTGAACCCATTGGAACCTGTCTGGATCATTTTTGGATGCCGAGTGCAAGCACTGTATTTGGCATGTTTGGAAGCAACTTTGCGCCGGGAGTGGCAGCATCTGCCTCTTGGGCGAATCCGGAGACTCACGACAAGCAAGAGGAGGAGGGTCAAAAGAGTCATCCGTGCACAAGGTGGATGGATATGCACGCTATTAACACTTTTCATGTGATTTGTTGTCTGAAGATAACAGAGAACATTTTCAGACTGAAAGACACTCACCTCTCCTATCTTGGAACTCTGCAGCCCCATAGTTGTACAGGGATACATTTTGTTGACAAAACATCGTTGACGTTTTCATGTCATTTTGTGAATTAAAATATTGCAAATTTTCATGATTTTGTTGTTATTGTTTAGTCCAAAATGTCAACTTGCAGGAAACAATGGAGTTTAAGCTTTCCAGTAACCATACTAATGTTAATGGTTGCTCAGTTTCATGGCAGTATGAAAAGTTCGGAGGTGTTTAATCAAGTTCCAGGTGTATATTTATATAGGTAAGTTTTTGAACAGGCGATCACCGTGATATCAATAATAGGTTCCTGAGGTCACGGAGAAACATGAAGGTACATGTAAACACTTTTACACTGAAACGAATAACAAAAAAAATATTTGCAAAATATGCAGTCCCTAAAGTTAGGTTGACAGACTATATAGCTTTATATATTAAGCCCTACCCAATAAATGCACGCTGTAAAATGTACTTTAGACGTCAACAATGCAACGAAAGCAACATGCCAAATGTCCGAATTAAGGAGAGACAAAGACAAAGAAAAAGCTCTCAGCGTAATGGACAATGGGCACACACATCTAAATCCGTTCA